TGTGTGTGTGTGTGTGTGTGTGTGTGTGTGTCCTGCAGGTCAGCACTTCTTTCACATGAGCTCTGCTGTGGAAACAGAGACTCAGGGGATGCGGAAGCCCAGACCACCGAGTCTGGTGGCAAGGAGGCTGACACCTGGTCTTCCACATCCCGGTGAGCACGGCGGCCGCTCTTTGCAAAGAGCAGTCACTGTCGAGTGGGTTCTGACCAGGACGACCGAGGAGTACCGCAGGAGAGCAGCGCCCCATAGGGTTTCCAGGGGCTGTGGTCTCTTTGTTTCCGAAGTCGATTGCCGGGACTGTCGTCCGGCTGCCTCTGGTTGGCCTGGAACTTCTGTCAGCACGTCTAGCAAAGAACCGCTATCCCTACCGTCAGCAGTCAGGTGTGTGAAGCGTTTCTCAACTTTCTCTGGTCGAGAAACCCAGAGAGGAAGAGAATGCCTAATACTCCAGCCGTGACCGCGTCTTCATGTGTATTGAACACATGAGCCCTGTCCTCGGCTGACCACAGACCTGCAGCGGGCTGTGACTGGGTCATGCGTGGGGCCTCTGACCAGGCCCTCTAGTGCAGGCACAACCCACGAGACAGCCCTACCCATGCCTCGGGTGCTCTTCTTGGGCCGGACCTGGGTCTGAGTCGCAAGGCCCAGTACGTGGTGGTTCCCTGACACTGCACTTGCAGCTGAAGCCCGGGCTCCGGAAAGCCTGTGGAAGGGGAAGGGAGGTCTGGTGGGGAGCTCACAGCTTCGTCCCCACAAAAATCCCACAGAGGAGACTTTGTGTCTCCGCCTAATTCTCAAGGTGGTGTTTTGCTGGAATCCGACTCCGGAATGGGAGGGGTGGAAGGATGGACCTTGTTAGAACTGTGGATGTTTATCCTGGAAGGGGAGGGCAGGGCAGGGGGGCAGGACCAGCAGCATGGGACGGCCCGGAAAGACAGACCTGCAATGTTCTCTTCACCTTCCTGCCCTGATGAACAAACTTCCGGTTGGCCTAACCACACCACCTCCGCCTGGGTGCAATCCCAAGTCTTCAGCAGGTCGGCGCTTTTGCTGATTCGAGCTCTTTGCTCCAAGACGATTCAGTCTGGTCTACTCTATCCACGGGCCCTTCCCTAGGAGAGGCTCCGCCCGGCTCATTCCAGACTTGCCCTCCCTCCCCTCCTCTCAGACCACTGTGCCTCAACACCTGCCCTCCATCGCACCCCTCACAGGGTACCCCCACAGTGAAGCGGAGAAC